GTGGTGAGCAATTGTACTGTGCATCACTTGCTTTGTGTGTTATTATTATTATCATCATGTTATTATTATTACCATTTTATTTCAATTATTAAACTGTTTTTATCTCAACCCACGAGTTTTTCTCACTTGTGCTTTTCCAATTCTCTCCCCCATCCCACCGGGGGGGTGGGGAGTGAGCGAGCGGCTGCGTGGTGCTCAGTTACCAACTGAGGTTAAACCACGACAGAAGCTTATTTCCATCCCTCTCTTTTTTCTGTAATTCAGATAGAGCATCGCATTCAGCACCTAAAGGTGCCCAAGGCCTGTGCTTGTGCATCAGACTGAATAGCCGCTCTGCAGCCACGAAGGCCGGGGGGCTTGGTCTGTTTTCATAAAAAGCACCTTCCGTTCCACTCGCTGGCTTCTAAAAATCCCTCTCTCAGATGCTGCTCAGGTCTCCTCGGGGACTGCGTATGAAGCACGGCGGCCAGGGCTGTCAATCCCAGAGGATGTCTGAGCACCTAAGATTACGTGTTACAACAAACGATCACCGTTTCAGACGTAGCCCTGCGCCCACCAGCGGCTCTGACGATCCTAGCTGAAGACTACGTGCATGTATAATGTTCAGGCTCTCAATCAACTGTGGGAACAGTTCATCCGTTTCAAACAGGGCATCCAAAACGTACTGTGAAATGGAATTATCCCCCTTTTTTTTTTGTAATTCGAATACCTGGAGTTCTTCATCAAGGCCAACAAGGTGCTATATATACTCCCACACCGTTAATTTTACATTGAGACTTACCTCCCAATAAAACTGGTCTTCAAAGTACTTTGATACAGGGATGGTCTTAAACAGTTTGAGGTTTAAGATTAAACCTATTTGCAAAAACACATATATCCAACATAAATGCATACGTCAGGGAAAGGGGAAGATTGTGTGTAACTGGAGGTTTCTTAGTAACGCGCATCCAAATGTAACATAGATCAAAATACCAATTCAGAACTAAATGCTTCAGCAGAGCCCCTTGACTCAGGTTGACCTTAAATACAAAGAGGAGCTTGCCAGGATCAAGGCTTGTGTTATTAAACATTAATTACTCTAGGTAAAACCCCATTAAACAGCCTGTCCGATTCTAAAAATGCATCAAAAATCATTAACTTCTTGCATGAAAAATGCCTGTGTATTTAAAGCAGTCGGGCTTATCAGCACTGTTAGCTTGGGATTTCAGATGGAAACATCTAGATTTTTAAACAATTGCTTAAACACTGAATGTTTGATTATTTTAGCTGAATGTTTTTTAAAAATCTGCTTGATTAGCTCAACTTCTTAATTACACTTCAGGTAGTGCAAAGGTTTCAGATCAATTAAAGCACAAAAAACCCCACAGTACATTTCACAGCAATCTTCATCGGCCGTTTCTCTTTTATTCAGGACAGAATTAACAGCTATAGAAAAACTGCAGCTGCCATAAACCTGACAGAATGTCACATGAGAAACACATGAGCCCTGGTGATCCCAAACCACCAGTGATCAAAGGCCTAGTGCTTGGCTGATGCAAGCGAGCTACTGCCGTTAGTGAAACTTTGCAGATTTATATACCAACTGGCCTAAAAAGTGAGAAGCTCTAGATAGCATTTTTCTGTCACTAAGACAATCCCCAAATGTAAAACCAATTTCATCCTTGCACATCTCCGGTCTGAAATTTGAAGGCAGCTGTTAAGCATCCGTTAAAATAAACTTCACCGATGAAAGAATGGTGCTACTGGGCTATTTATGTTGAATACGTAAATATTCTTCAAAAGACTGGCCTTGAAGAGCCCCTGGCATTCACGTTTCCCATGGCTTCTACAAATAATTTACCCGTAGAAACACACTTCAGAGCCCCAGTTAAACCGGCCTCTCTCTGCGAAGGGTTGCACTGACATGATAGCAGGTGCAATGAGATGACATACCCTTTGCCCCGAGGAAATGAGGAAGATACTACTGAAACACGTTTTTCAATACTGACCTGTAATGAAACCTGTTATCAAGGCAACACTGATGGTCAGGCAGAAGGCGCCGACTTGAATCATGAACAAATAACCCAGTCTGAAAAGCAAAACAAGTGTTTCACCTTTTACAGTTGCTGAATTTAGCAATAAGACAATGAATCTGTACCTACACAGCATTTTACATCAAAACCTCTCATAAAAAATCTGTTCTTCAATCTCTCTGCAGCTGCAGTTAGATGTTTTAAGAGATCCTATCAGAAGCCTAATACAGGCTTCAGAGCGACATGTTTTGCCCTTATAAACCATCATTGTGGTACTAAAACTTCACTAAATTTGTTTGTTTCAATAAGAATATGATGAGAAGCGTAAGGCCCTTACGCTGCACTGTGATTCATTCCTGCGTAAACCGTGAAAATCAGAGCGCTTCTTGTATGACCCGACATGAGCTTGATCTGCAAAAATGAGATGCCAGTGCCAGATCAAAACAACCTACGGAGAATATCCTTAACCGAGCCCTTCAGCTTTTGCAGGGCATCTCCCCAAGTATACTTTCCAGTTCAGTGTCCAGACTGTCTTTAGTCCAAACTGGCATTCTTGCCCCTGACTCAGAGTTAAAGCCTCATTCGAAGAGGAATGCTGATTTCTGCCCCCTGCTGTGTTAGCATACAAAGCTCCCCAAAACACATCACAAAAGCCAAAATGAGTCCTGGAAGGATGCACGTCCCCAGCCTTCATCTCCTGTGTCTGCTGTATTTAATATCAAATAAAAAGAGAGACAGAAAGCAGGACCAAAAGCTAATATTAAAGTTTGGATCCAATGTCTGCTCAACTCTGAAAGTCTTTTTTACTGACTTCTTTGGACTTCAGAGATTATCGTGGGTTATCTTGCATAAAACGATTTATCTGTGGTGACGTTCAGGCTTTCTGTATGTCTGAGAACTCTTCTCAAGGCATACTACAATAATGATTAGCTAAGCTTGTCACTTAATAGCAAGAATTTATGTACCTTGGTAAATTAGTCCAGTTTTTTATTAGTATGAGAACGACCTGGGCAAGAGCTCCAAGCACACCAGGCAAGCCAAAAGTGAAATGAACTCCAGAAGAATCATGAATCTTGAGAGCAGGATACAAGCATCTCTGGGAAGAAGAAAAGGTTTAATTGATACACAGAAACACAAGTTGATAATAGCATATTGTCTATCGCAGACCTAGGAAATGAACTTTGGTCTTAAAAGTTGCAATCCTGCGCTCTGCTCAAAAGACTTCAGGTTTCCTAGCTTTAATCTCTTTGAAAGAGACGTTTCCGTTGAGGTATCCTACATCAGAAAAGAAGTTTATACAGCTTATACAAAAACAATTTCAGGTTTTGAGTAATACCTGTAAACAGCAAGATCCTAATATGGTTATCACACTGGCAAGCAGACCCAAAATCATTGCAATCCAAGGATACTCAATACTGTGTTCTGCATAACCAACAGTGACCCCACCAGCTAGTACTGCACTGTGGATATGAGTCTGTAAAATAAAACAACAAAAACATGGAGTGAGAATTCAGTCATCGCTTATAGCAGCCCGATATCATAGATTGATATTCTCATGCAAGTGCGATCTCTTTAGGGTGAATTTGGGCCTCTGTATACTGTAAACTACAATCTGAGAACATAATTTCTAAGTTACAGCTTCAGTGTTCTGCTTGGGAGGCTAATGATGACTGTCAGGCTGAAAACCTGGACTTGTTTTTACTTAATAGCTATTATACTTTCGGTGTATTACTGAGAGCAACAGAAAAAGATCTTCTCTGTGCAGTGCTCTTCTCTCATGTCTTACCATTCTGAATTTTCCATCCTTTGTGGTCAGAACAGACAACACGAAGGCAGTTACAGCACTCACTGCGAGGGCAAAGTAGGTGTTGTAGATTGCTTTGCTCTTGTTCACAGCTAGTACAGAATTGAAGCTTGGCCAGAATACCCAGAGAAAGAGAGTACCTTGGAGACAAAGACAAGCAGCTATTGTTACCTGCTCTAAAACACAGTGAATCCATCACCGGCTGTCTCTGGAAGCTCCAGCCCACATTCTGCGTTCGCTATAATTCCCACGTGGTGAACAAAGGATAACGCTTCACAGTGCAGACAGCCCCGAGAGTTACCTGCTATACCAACACCTTCCCAGAACCACACCACGGCAATGTCAAACATACAGCCAAAGCACAGCTCTACTGGCATCTGGCTGGTCCTTCGCAGAGTTGAAGGTAGGATGCTCTTTTCAAGGACACAAACTTTAGCATCAGCTTTGTCCTATCGTCCCCTTAAACGCAGGTTCAGATACAAGCGGGAACAATTCCACTGTTGATTTCCAAACAATCGGCATCCTGCCTGTTCTGCACAGGCACTGAGGGCTTGCTCCTCAGCCAAAATTTCTGCTCCTTTTCATGGAACTGTGGAATAATTGTTCAAAACCAGCTGCAAGAGAGAATGAAAGCAAGCCAAGGAGGAAGAGAAAACAGCTCACATGGTGCAAATCACTATAAAGAAACCCGAAGTGCACTTTGGAATGTCTTTTACCTTGGCTGCCAGTATGACTGGTACTGGTTGTCTTGCCTCCTGGCAGGGTTTGAAGAGAAAAAGAGGATGAACTGGATCATAAGAACAGAGTCCTCTCTACGTCTACTAGCATTACTCCAGAGGAGGGCTAAAGACCAATAGCTTGAGCTGAGGTGATCGTGCTCCCCCAACCCAGCTATACACAGCTTAACTTTCTTGTTATTTGTGAAAGAGTTATCTACCGAATAGCTACTCCCTAGTATATGGGTCCAAAAGAACAATTCACTTTCCTCCTGTAAGATCACTGTACAGCGTCACGCTTTCATGACCACATAGGCTTCGCTAACAATAGGAATGAAAACAGGTTCTTCTGCTTCTATGGCCTGGTCCCTAATTGTCAGCATTTAGGAATCTCAGCCTCTCTAAAACAAGTTCACTGCTTGGCAGGATACGTCTTTCCTATGTGCATATGGATGCACATGCATAGATCAAATTCCAACCAGCAGAGGGAAGTAGGTGGCCTCACGCGAAGTCAAGTTGGACCACACAGTTGCAATCTGTGTCTCTGCTCCCTGCGTTGCTCATAGCTCCAAGTGCACGGATGACGACACAAACAAGCAACAGTTTATTTTGCCTTGTCCAGTCATTACTTTTTGCTGTCCAGTCAACTTCCATAGCTAATGTTCTGTTCTCCACGCCACAGAGGTGCCAGACCCTTGTGCAATTCACCTGACAGTAAAATTTGAAGCGTTCAAGTCAATTCAGAAGTGACAAAGGCATTGTCACTATAAAGCACAATGGTTAAATCCAGCTTCTAGCAACCCTGCCAGCTACTGCTTTTGTACAAGCTTATCTTGGCTCCTTGAAATCCAATTTCCATTGCTAATTTTCACCCTTTCAGCGCACCAAGGAGGTGATAACCATGCCTCTCAGACAGGATATTTGGCCCATGAACCTTGATTTGATCTGAAAAACTGACAGGCTTCCCAGCAAAGTGGCATTATCTAGCCAGGTGTCGTGCCAAAACCAGCACACCAGATCATGTTCCTAGCTCATGTTTTCTGCAAGTGGAGTGCTATTTCTATCAAGGATATCCCTTGAGAAACCGGCTTCTTCACAAGTTCAGTGCTTGCAGTCTATCCAGACAGTCTGGACACATTTCTTCTGTTTTGTTTTTTATTAGCAGTGCTCCCAATTTGTAGATAATTCTACAGCCCTAATCTGGGCATTGCAAACCTCCCTGCCAGATCCTGGATGCAGGTTGTTTTCAGTCAGTGCTCTGAGTTCACTCTTAAAAGACATTTGTGAGGCTCACTACAGCATATTCACTACAGCAACTAACGTGCTAAGTAAAAAGCATTTGTAATTTTATCCCAAACTCAAACGCAATATTTTCGGAGAGTCGCAGCCCTCAGAAACAGGATACAAAAAGGAACTATGAGGAATTTGCCTGCTCGGTTGCTCCTTTCTACCCACGTTACCTCAGGAATTATTCAAGACATGGCAACATAATTACTTCAGATAGCAAGCACTTGGTTGTAGCAAGCTGCACAAAAATTATAATGAAGGCGTAACAGCGTCTTGATGAGTTTGATTAAAATACCAATCTCCTCGAATTCTCCAGCAAAGCAAGAACTCCAGGGACTCAAAAGA